CACACACACACACACACACACACACACACACACACACACACACACACTTCTGTCACTTTCTTTGTAACTTCTGACCAAAGTAGTGCTTCCAAAATTACACTGCAAACACCAAAGTTTAATCAGTATTGGGCCATGCAGGATGGTTTCTCAAACTGTGGTCTGCAAACCACCCTCCTGTGTGATTTTGTAAAACTGAGGATCCTTGAGCCTCACCTCAGGCCCTCCAAATAAGGGTCTCTAGAGGGAGGAAGAGGAATTCCAAGGACCTATTGAACAAATACTCTAGTTGATTCTGACATGCATGAAGTTTAAGGGTGAGACAAAATAAAATTGAAACACACACACACAGACACAACTGTATAACCATGTGGTCCATTCATGCTGTACTGAAAGAAGTTTCTATTGCCTTTATATTTCAATAAGGGACACAAATCATAGTTTTATGGAGTCCTTATGCCATTCATTAAAGCTCAGAAAAGCAGCAATGATTCTTAAGATATAAATGACTATATAGGATTCAAAAATTATAAACTAATACAGGATATTCTTTTCAATGTACTTACTATGTGTTGTGAGATGATCTGATTCAGCGGCTGAAAAGAAATAAAAGAAAAATCAGACACATGTATTTCACCCACAGGAATCCTGACCAAAACACCCACCTTTGAACCAATACAGTAAGCCATGAAGTAGAGCTGTGGCAGCTACACATAAACCACCATCAACAGATCTATAGTCTGTTCTGGAAATGGAATCCAAATTGATAACAATTTCATAAGTCTTTAGCGTATCCAAGGCAAAATGCAAAACTAGCCCTGGAAATGTGGTGATTAAAAAAAAAGGTTCTCCAACCCAAATGTCCATCGAGATAGACTGGATAGGGAAAATGTGGCACATATACACCATGGAATATTATGCAGCCATCAAAAACGATGAGTTTGGGTCCTTTGTAGGGACATGGATGAACCTGGAAACCATCATTCTCAGCAAACTGACAGAAGAGCAGAAGATCAAACACCGCATGTTCTCACTCATAGGCGGGTGTTGAACAATGAGAACACATGGACACAGGGAGAGGAGCACTACACACTGGGGTCAGTTGGGGGGAAATAGGGGAGGGACGGTGGGGGGTGGGGAGCTGGGGAGAGATAGCAAGGGGAGAAATGCCAGATGTAGGTGATGGGGAGGAAGGCAGCAAATCACACTGCCACGTGTGTACCTATGCAACAATTTTGCACGTTCTTCACATGTACCCCAAAACCTAAAATGCAATAAAATAAATAAATGGGGAAAAAAAAGGTTCTCAATATCTTAAAAATAAGTTTAATAAAATACTTAGTAATAACTTATGCATTTGCTCCTGTATATTTCCTGCTGAAGATAATTTGTTATTTTACTAAAATACAATTAACCCTTCATCATGGTAGAAAAGCAAATTAAGCTTGTGCACAAATGTGGGACTCACTGCTTTTCTTATTTCTTTGAAAAAAATTAGCCCATCTAGCTCGCATGTATGGGCCTGAGGAGCTGAGTTTGAGAGTTTTGAATTAATTTGCTAGCTTTCAACAAACGGAATGAAATTGCTTAAAGTGCAGATGAGCAATTACTTGGATATAAATTCAAAAAAGTCAAGTGATGTGTTGACAAAAACCAGGGGAGATGAAAATGCCTTTTTTTCCCATAAAATGACAGAGATAATCATTTATCGAGAATCACTCTCTCTCCTAAGGTTATTGGGAGAATTAAAGAGAAAATGTAGATGAAGTTCTTATCCTACTAACTGGCACACAGTCAGCACACAACAGAATTAGGTACTAGAGTAATATCACTGATGATGATGACTGATCGCACAATTTCTACCACTCATTGTTTTAAGCATTTCACCTATATTATGTCATTTGGTCTTTGTGGCAACTCACGATGGAAGGGTTTTTCCTCTTGGCTTACAGAGATGTAAACTGAAGCACTTAGAGGTAAAATAACTTGCCTAAGATATTAGTATTATTTCCATTTGCCTTTTAGAGAAACAGAGGCTTAGGGAGGAATAGGTATAATTGCTATTATTTCTCTGCCCTGTGCTACACATTTGCATTATCTCTTGGAGGCCCACCTGAGCAGATGACACCAGCATCTTCACTGTGGCCACAGTTATGGGAGAGCCAGCCATTGTGGGGGCAGCTCCACAGGTAGGACTCATATCCTGAGCAGCGCATGTCATCCAGGACAATCGGCCCTGAGCCTTGGCCAAACCGGGCATTTCCTGGGGCGGATACAGCCCAGCCACAGCCAAGCTGCCTGCAGACCACATTGGCATCATTGGTGTCCCAGTAGTCATCACACACGGTGCCCCAGGAATCCTGGTACCGGACCTCCACCCTGCCCTTACACGGGTCACCTCCATTCACCAGCCTCAGGGCCAAACCTAGAGGGAGATACAGACATTTCACTTCTCTATTCCTTGTCCTACACCGTGAGCAAAGACCCCAAAAAGACCTGACCATCTGACACCCAGATTCCTCAGCATGTTTTCCTGTTTGAACGTAAGCTCAACTTTCCTGACTCTTCAGTAGAGTTTGGCCAACCTTGTATCTTGAGGGGGCCCGTGTGGCATCATCAATTTCAGGTCCCCCTTGCTTCTGGCCTGACCCCTCAAGTCACGTTCCAATTGTGAAGAACCTGTCCGGCCCATGGCAACTCCTTCTCTCACCAATGGAAGTGCCCCACATGAGCACAGCACTGTGATGGGAATTACTCTGGATGCGCTACCTTCAGAAAACAAAGCAGCCTGCCAGGTGTCACCGGGAGAGCTAGGCTTGTTTCTAAGGTGCCTGCAACCCTGCACTTCACACTTCCACATTCCTGATACCTCTTCTCCTCCCTCCCTCCCTCATGCCCCAAAGTGCCAATTTTGAAAGCCTAATCATGGCAGATGATTTGGGGCATTTGCTAACATGGAAACCTCAGTTCTTGTACCAGAACTTTACACATATCATCTTAGCTAATTCTCAACTCTATCCCATGGAGAAACTGAGGCTCAAGAAGGTTACCCACTTGCTAGTCAACTGACTTAAACTATGCTTTTGCACAAACGGGCACTCACATACCCACACAGGACTCTAGTAAGATGAAGAAATACTGAGTAGAGGCAGTTACCATTTGAAGTACTAACTGGAACAGAGTTTTCTTCTGTTGCAAATCCTAGAAAAGAAGAGGAAAAATAAGGGATTATATATATCCAAAAGTCCTCAGTTAGATGCTGCTGTACTCATGTGCCTCTGCTGCCCTGGTGACTGGGTACAACCCCCCTGGACACCCAGTGGGGCAGACTGGGGGCAAAGATCAGAGGCAGGAGGTGTGCATAGGCAGGGGTGGGGATGGAGGCCCAGGGCCTGTCAGCTGGAATGAGGGAGGGGCTGAAGGGCCCAACCCTGGCAACCCCACCAAAGGAGGTTCTTCCTGTCCTATGTCTAAAACCTAGCAGGGCCTGGATGCAGTGTCTCACATGTGTAATCTCAGCACTTTGGGAGGCCAAGGCAGGAGGATCACTTGAGCCTAGGAGTTGCAGACCAGCCTGGCAACATAGAGAGACCTTGTCTCTACAAAGACTTAAAATAAAATAGCCAGGCATAGTGGTGTGGACCTGTGGTCCCAGCTACTCCAGAGGCTGAGGGAGGAGGAAGGCTTGAGCCTGGGAGGTCAAGGCTACGGTGAGCCATGTCGGGGCCACTGCACTCCATCCTGGGCAACAGAACAAGACCCTGTCTCAAATATTTGTGTGTGTGTGTGTGTGTGTGTGTGTGTGTGTGTGTGTGTGTGTGTGTATTTATTTATTTATTTATTTTAAACAAAGCCCAGCAGAATTTTCTGCAGCAGGCCCTCCTGATTCCTTGGGGTGGCTTTAGGCACCGCAACTCCCCAGCCCCAGAGCTTAGGTACAGCATTACCAGTTATCACGTGAGCCTCCTGTAAACCAGCTTCTGTGGTGTCTATCACTGTTACTGCTGCTGAACCTGCTGCAAAGCAAAAAGGCCAAATGAGAGGTCATCTGAAAACAAGAGTTAGATCTGACACCCTTCCTAATTAAACTAAATACCACATTTTAGTTTGGGAGTTCACTGGGTTTGTCACTTGTTAATTAATTCAAACAGTGAATATGGAAGAACCTCTGACTGCACCACGAAGCATTAAAGGTCAGTGAGAAAAGAAGAAATTTGTCCAAAAAAGTAAGTCTCCGTCCTCCAGAGCTCACAGGCCACTTGGGCAGACACAATCAGGTGATCATTTGTGTTTGGCCTAATAGGGGCCCAGGGTAGAGGAGAAGTGGAAACCTCAGAGGCAGAAATTCACCGGGTCTCTCCGAGCAGGAACTACCCAGAGAGAAGTGGATACAGGCATGGTGGCTCATGCCTGTAATCCCAGCACTTTGGGAGGCTGAGGCAGGCAGATCATAAGGTCAGGAGTTCAAGACCAGCCTGACCAACATGGTGAAACCCCATCTCTACTAAAAATACAAAAATTAGCTGGGCGTGGTGGCACGCACCTGTCATCCCAGCTACTCAGGAGGCTGAGGCAGGAGAATCTCTTGGACCTGGGAGGTGGAGGTTGCAGTGAACCAAAACTGCACCATTGCACTCCAGCCTGGGTGACAGAGCAAGACTCCATCTCAAAAAAATAAAAATAAAAAAGAGAGGAGTGGATATTTTACAGAGACATAAACATGTGTCAACAGAAAATGGGGTGAAAGTAGAATTATCATATAAAATATAGGACGTCCAGTTAAATTTGAGCATCAGATAAACAAGAAATAGTTCTTAAATATAAGTATGTGCCAAAGATTGCATGGGACACATTTATACTAAAAAAAAAAATTACAAACTAACACCATAAAAACCCTAGAAGAAAACCTAGGCAAAACCATTCAGGACATAGGCATAGGCAAGGACTTCATGACTAAAACACCAAAAGCATTGGCAACAAAAGCCAAAATAGACAAATGGAATCTAATTAAACTCCAGAGCTTCTATACAGCAAAAGAAACAATCATTAGAGTGAACGGACCACCAACAGAATGGGAAAAAATTTTGCAATCTACCCATCTGACAAAGGGCTAATATCCAGAATCTACAAAGAACTAAAACAGATTTACAAGAAAAAAACAAACAACCCATTCAAAAGTGGGCAAAGGATATGAACAGACACTTTTCAAAAGAAGATATATATGAGGCCAACAAACATATGAAAAAATGCTCATCATCACTGGTCATTAGAGAAATGCAAATCAAAACCATATTGAGATACCATATCACACCAGTTAGAATGCCGATCACTAAAAAATCTGGAGACAACAGATGATGCAAGGTGGCAGAGAAATAGGAACACTTTTACGCTGTTGGTGGGAGTGTAAATTAGTTCAACCATTGTGGAAGACAGTGTGGCGATTCCTCAAGGACCTAGATATAGAAATTCCATTTGACTCAGCAATCCCATTACTGGGTATATATCCAAAGGATTATAAATCATTTTATTATAAAGACATATGCACACGTATGTTCATTGCAGCACTGTTTACAATAGCAAAGACCTGGAACCAACCCAAATGCCCATTGATGATAGACTGGACAAGGAAAATGTGGCACATATACAGCAAGGAATACTATGCAGCCATAAAAAAAACAATGAGTTTGTGTCCTTTGTAGGGACATGGATGAATCTGGAAACCATCACTCTCAGCAAACTGACATAAGAACAGAAAATCAAACACCATATGTTCTCACTCATAGGCGAGTGTTGAACAATGAGAACACACGAACACAGAGGGGAGTATCACACACTGGGGTCTGTTGTGGGGGAAAGGGAGGGATGGGGTGAGTAGGGAGGTTGGGGAGGGTTAAAAAAAAAAAACAAAAAAAAAAGAAAAGAAAAAAAATATTTTGTATCTGAAATTCACATTTCAGTAGGTGTCCCGTATTTTTATTTGAGGAATCTGGTAACTCTGGATAAAAGGTACCCCAGAGGCAACAGCAGGCAGGAAATTCTCTTCACTAACCTTCAGCTAAACCCCAGCCAGGTCAACTGAAGCCCTCCATCCTCTGTAACCCACTGAGCATGAGTGTGGGTGAGCCAAGCACACTTCGCACGCCTGGCAGGTTCCACTCCAATCAGCTGCATTGTGTGGTCATCTAGTGTCAAATGTGAATCCCAAACCTATTTGTGCCAGTGGCACCTGGCATGACATTAACCTAAATATGAAATAAATTAGTGAAATATGGGTGCAAAAAGAAAGATGTCTTTCTACAAAGATAAGGCAGAATGCTTTGGAAAGACTGAATAAATTAAGTTGCTAAAAAGCATCAGGTGGGTGCACCCCACCTGCAGGCCTACCCACCTGATGTTTTTTTAGCAACTTAGTTTATTCAGTAGAAGAAAGATATATATATTTTTTAAAAAGTAGAAGAAAGGTGTATAAAACAATAGAACTTTTGTACTTTTATTTGCTTTGCAATTCCTTTTAATTTCAGGTTCCTCTTTAGAGAAACCAAAATTAGAAATAATAGATGATGCATAATGGGTGTGGTTTATGCCAGAAAAATACTGCAGGACTACTGAAGATCCCTGCAGAGAGAGAGGCCTACATCAACAAATTAGGGAATCAGTGTATGTATTACATGGTTTAAGTTAAAACAAAACATCTAAACTGTCTGTATCATATTTTCTGATTTCCCATTTTAAACAACTTTTTTGAGTAACCAATCAACTACCTGTCTCAGTCACATTAGAAAAGAGTTCTTCTAGAGAAATGATTCCAAACTGGGTTCCATGCAGCATCATCCAGCACCTGGAAACTTGTTGAAAACGTGAAGTCTTAGCCTCACCCAGGCTTACTCTAGAGGTGGCACTCAACGCTGTGTTTTCAGAAGCACTCCCATGATTCTAACACACTAAGCTTGAAAAGTGCTGTTCTGCAGCATATGTAAAAGGAACAGTAGCAGCAATGTCATTAGGGTGGTAAGGGAGAATTCATTTACAACTACATACTGAGCTGCAGCTATAATAGATGCTCTTCCACCAGGCAGGAAGAACATTGAGATTATATCACACCTCCACTGCCCTTTGGAATTAGGCTTTAGGGGGTGAAATGCACAGGTAAGCAATTAGTAGCCATAGCAAACATACAGGTAAGCAAGCAGAGCATAGCAAACTAAGGGCTCCAATGGAGGGATGTTCAGGAGCCCGACAGCAGGTCACATTTGATTGACCCTCGAGTCAGACAATCACTGAGCTATACCAGGCAGGATGGACAGAAGGGAGCCAGGCAGAGGCGAAGGTCCAAGTTAAAATTAGCGCTAAGGAAGTAGAGACACTATAAATAAACCGCTCCGAAACAACCTCCTAAGAATAAAACTACAAACTATGCAAAACTTCTTGAGCGCCTCCTCAGACAGAGAAGAGCCAGGTTTCCGGATGGAAACACTGAGCATAGAAATGTTGATCGTTCGAAACTAATTCATAGGTTTCATATAATTTTTACTAAAGGGTTTTTCTTTGTTTGACTAGTTCTTTCAAAAAATAATTCTACAGTTCCTCAGGACAGTTAAATAGGCTAAAAATAACTGATAAATTCTTGAAAAATAAAAAATATCAACAGGGCAGGGTGTTAGGAAGATGGAAATGGGGATGGGAGAACCTGTGTTCCCCATGGACTTGGGAAGCAGACAACCAGCGTTCAAGTTCTAGCTCCGCCCTGTATTTTTTCTCTGAACACAGGTAAGTCAGGCGACCTCACTGGTCTTCATTTCCTCATTTGTAAAAGGGTGATTATGCTACTTCATAAGGTTATTGTGAAGAAAAAGTCAGAAAACATAAGTCAAATGTTTAGTACTGTGTTTGCCATGTAACAGCACTCAAAAAATTATTTGCTCAAAATTAGTAAAATAAAGTGAGATAAAGTAAATTATAGCTATAAAAATTAAAATCTAGAAAAAAACCTAAGTCAGATATTTACCTCACACCAGAAAGCAAAATAATTTTCAGAATTAAATAACTATTTTTTAAATGCACAAAAATGAGAATAGTTACATTTTTATCTGATTCCTGTTAGAAATTTCTAGATTTAAAAATCAATAGAAGAAACTAGCCAGGCGTGGTGGCTCATGCCTGTAATCCCAGCACTTTGGGAGGCTGAGGCAGGTGGATCACCTGACCTCAGGGGTTCAAGACCAGCCTGGCCAACATGGTAAAATCCCGTCTCTACTAAAAACACAAAAATTAGCCAGGCATGGTGGCGGGCACCTGTAGTCCCAGATACTCAGGAGGCTGAGGCAGGAGAATCACTTGAACCCAGGAGGCAGATGTTGCAGTGAGTCAAGATCGTGCCACTTGCTCTGGGCAACAGAGCAAGACTCCGTCTCAAAAAAAAAAAAAATCAATAGAAGAAATCACAAAGAAAATCAGCAGTACATTTAATTACACAAAAATATAAAATATGTGTGCAGAAGAAAATCAAAATCAAAATTAAAAGGCAAACCACAAAATGGGAAAATATGTGTCATCAATATAATGCTAAAGTATCAGTACACAAAACACAGAGTTTATGTAATCAATAAAGAAGACACCAACTTTAACAAAATTTGGACAAACGACATAAACAGACGATTCAAAGTAAAGGAGTGCAAATGGCTTAAAAAGGTTCACTCTCACTATAAGCTAAGAAATGCAAATTTAACTGACCATATGCCATTTTTCCATCCAGCAGTTCAGCCAAGACTTTTGAACAGTAACTTCAGAGCTGGTGAAAGTGCAGAAATTGCTACTCATGTTTTTTACTGGTAGGAGTAAGAATTGGCACATTTCTGGAAAATGATTTATTTTATTTATTAATTTATTTATTTTTGAGACAGACTGTCACTCTGTCACCCAGGCTGGGTGCAGTGGCACAATCTCAGCTCACTGCAACCTCTACCTCCTGGGTTCAAGTGCTTCTCATAGAAACAAACAAACACTGGTACCTTCCTACTAAGTTTACTCCAGGCTTTATTTGGATTTCACCAGTTTTTCCTTTTCTGTTCCAGGATCCAATCCAAGAGCTCAGATTACATTTAAGAAGCCGCATTTGGATAAAACATTAGGAAAATGTCTAGAGTAGTAACACTAAATAGCTCTGAGGCTCTGTCCACCTGCCAGACAGACACTGCATGGGTTGGAACATAACCCTCATATAAATGAGTAAACTGAGGCTCTCAGAGTCTCCATGTGGGCAAGTGACAGAGCAGGGGCATTTCTGGGGCCAGCAGTGGGTACCACAGCACAAACCTGGGCAAACTGAGTTTTTCTCAAGAGTTCGCATGAAGACCAGAGCTGACAGGTGCCTGCCACCTCGGTACTTCCAGTGCAAAGCTCTGTGGCCAGGCTCCAAACACTGAGTTAGATGCCATGGTTCAGTTCAACACCTCAGCTCCTTGCAAGGAGCAGCAAGGGCCAGTGGCCAGAGCTGCCATCTGAATGCTGGTGAACTTTCATCCAGATTCAAGCCCTAACCCAGCCATTCACCAGTGCCGTCTTTGGACAAGCCAATAACCGTTCTGAGCCTCAGTTTCCCCATCTGAAATGTGGAAATAATTGTTCCTAACCTCAGGGATGTTAGCAGATTTAAATAAGAGAATACAGGTCCACTTCAGAGAGCATTAATTCCCACCTCTGAGTGGCAAATACAGACACACATGTGTGCATGCGTGTCCATATGCACACACATAACATCATGGGCAAACTACAAATTACCTCAACCAAAGAGCACTGCTGCCTGTTGTTCCTTTGTCGATAAAGACAAGGCAATTCACTTCCGGTCTATAGTGGCTGATGTGAATTCCATGTCACAATTCAGAGCCAATCTGGAGGGTGAACTTGGTACTGATGAGAGCTGGGGCTGAGGATGTGGCCTCCCAGTTTCAGATGCTTCTGATGAAGGCAGGATGAGGATGCTCAGTCTCCACTCCCCTGAGGTCCTGGGCCCGGTGGCCTCCAGCCCCTCCACACCATGCACACACTGTGTGCACATGCTGGTCACAGGGCGTGGGCCTGCTCCCTACCACCTGGGTGTGAGAGCTGGGTCTGGGGGTGCTGCTTTCATGAAGACAACCTCCCAAATGAATCTGAATCTTCATAGCTTTCCCCACTGAGTCCAAGGGGAGAATGAGAGTGCTGGAAGTTATCTGAAAATTAGGTGATTTTTACCCTGTCTCCTGAAATTCATGAATCTAGCAAAAGGTGACACAAAAGAAAAAAAATGGCAGTAGGAAAGATAAAAGAGAAGAAGGAAGAAAGAAATGAATAAAGGGAGGGAGAGAAACAAAAAGGGAGAGAAGGAAGGTAGAAAGAAAGTAGAAACAGAGGAAGAAAGAGACAGAAGTAGGGAGGGAAGGTGATAATCGCTGCCCAGTAGTTGAAGAGAGAGACAGAGACAGACAGAGAGAGAGAGAGATAGAGAAAGAGACAGAGACAGAGAGAGAGAGAGAAAGGTGACACTAGCTGCTCAATAGATAAAGAGAGACAGAGAGAGAAACAGAGACGGGGAGGAGGGAGGGAGGAAAGGTAATAACTGCCTGATAGATGAAAGAGACAGGAAGATACAGTGAGCAGGGCAGGGAGAGAAGGGCAGAGACAGAGACAGAGGGAGAAGGAGGGAGAAAAGGTGATATCTGCCAAAAGATGGGAGAACGAGAGAAGCACAGAGAGACAGACAGAAACAGAGAGAGTGAGAGAAGAGAAAACATAACAATAACTACATGGCAGGTGAGAAAGAAAAATAGAGAGAGAGACACAGGCAGAGAGAGACAGAGAGACAAATAGGCAAACTGAGAATCACTTGTTCCCTTCGTATCTCTGCAAAGTGCCATTGAGACGCAGCAATCAGAGTGCTTTGCCGATGACTCTCACGTCTATCATCTGACACTCTAAGAACCTACAGCTATGCTTGAGTGACTGGGTTTCAAGTGTTTGTTTAAAGCTGTGCATGACACACAAACTTGGAATTCCAAGACAAACTTGGAATCTTAATGATCTTGTCTGTGCTCAATCATTTGACCTGATTTTGCTCGGCAAATATTAGCCATCAAGCCCAGACACACTTGTAGAAAGAAGCCACATAAAGGGCGTTTACAGTGGGAATCTTTTCTGCCCGTTTTCATTGTGTACAAATTGTGTGTTTAGCCAATTGCTGCAAAGTCTGAGAGCCTCTTAACAGTACACATCCACCTTTCCTGAATTTTAGGGATTTTTCTAAGACCAATCAATCATTCCTTTAGTTGAATGACTTACTGAAAACACTGACAGAATGACTGGCTTTTTCTAACTACAACCATTTATATTTCTCAACCAGAAACAAAACAAAAAAGAGCCATTCCTCCCGAACACCTGCAAACAATTACAATTATCAGCAAAAGACTACCCGCTCTTTGATATAAAACTTCCCTTGAAATGGAAAGTAGTAGATAACATTTGCCATGATTGGGTCTGCAGGAGTGAAATTAATGAATATAATAATTAAACATAATACCTGTAGGTAGAACTTGTCCCCATAAAAGACATATTTCAAGGATGACCGTGGAGATCCCCATTTTGCTGGGTTCTTCTCAATTGAATAGAAGATCCTAGACATTTATAGGTACCTATCTAAAAGGAGGTGTGCCCTCTAGGGTGGTATATTTCTACTGCTATAAATCAATATAAAGGAAGTGAGGGCTTTCGGTAACAGTCGATGTCTAATCTGTGGGAGAAACTTAGGTGTGTTTGATCGATTGTCATATGAACAATCTGGCTGTTGTCCAACTGCAAATGCAGTGACATAAGTGAACCATTTCCAACTTCCTTCTAGGTGAACCTCGAAGGCTCTCAAGTGTTTCCTGAATACAGGCTTGATTTTCATCCTGCAGAGTTCAAGTTAACCTGTGGGAAGATGAAAATCAAGCTTGTATTCAGGAAACACTTGTGAACATCGAAGGCTCTCAAGTGTTTCCTGAATACAGGCTTGATTTTCATCCTGCAGAGTTCAAGTTAACCTGTGGGAAGTCTGCCCCGAGGTTTGGGGCAGAGCAGGATATGGGCTGCTCAGCAAATACAGGACACGGTGCCAAAGGGGAAAGCATCTCTTTGGGATGGTTTTTCCTGGCAGGACATTCTCTCATGGGCCCCTGTGCAGTGCGCGTAACCTCACCTTGGAAGAACAAGGATGACATGAGCGAGGATGTGACCAGAGAGCAGAAGGCATGAGGGAAGGTTCCGTGGAGACCATAGGTCCGTAATAGCTTTGGCCACAGTCTTCTGGGTCTCACGCAAATTCCACAAGAGGAGCTGAGAAACACATGGCCTCACACTAAACCACCTCCAGCCATTTCACAGTTTTGATTTCTTGTCCTTGACATGCACATTGTATGAGCTTGGCAAACCCACAAAACCTGCCCCTAACCTCCACCTACCTTGCACACAATCCCCCTCCTGGGACTTACTAGGTAAATATCACTTCGCTCTTTGTAACCCTCAGAAGTCATCACCAGACTCTGATAATCCACTCCCTACCGCCACCACTCTACTGAGAAGGTTGCCTGACATTGATTTTTGAACGAAGACACTCCTGATGGCCAGTAACTCTTGGTTAAAAGCAGACAGCTTTCCAGGACTTGCCTCTGTTTCCTAACCTGGATGAGCTGTGGCCTGTTCCTCAGCTGGGACGCTGCGGCCATCAAATGACACTTGGCTTCTTTGCCATGCACTGTTCATCAGTCGTCTGTGCTGTATTCTAGAAAGGTACCACGAACCCATGGCCTGTGTCGGCTACCAGTCAGAATGTAGGGCTGGAGGTCTGCCTTTGGCTTCATCCAGATGAAAGTTACATTCATTCCTAGATTTTCTTTTGATTCCTACAACTCTTCTTACTGCTTCCAGGTGCCTCTTCTCCCCTTAAGGAGAACAGGCACACAGAATAGGCTCACTGTGGTTCATGCTGCCACTGTCAGCTCAGTAGCTGATAAGCCCTGGGTGACAAGAGAACAGGGTTACTCATCTACCAGGGAATGCCCAAGACCAGACACATGCTGAGTTCCTCTTAGAAGGGGATTATGATCCCTTGCTTCCTGGGGTGTTGGGCTGAGAATGATTATGCAGCTGGGTCTGGGATCCTCAGGGTGTCCACCAGTCAGCACTGCCTGCCGTAAGCACAGCAGGGAAAAATGATGGTAAGAATACTAAATATCTGTGAGCAAGAAGGGGGAAAAGTGTCCTTCCTAGACAAAAGCAGACTGCCTGGTGACAATTTCACAGAGGGTAGCAAGTATTAGTACAAGCCGCAATGAGAACATGAAGAAAAGCATCTAAATAGGATGGCAGAGGCTGTCTCTCAGAGCTAGAAGATTGGATGAGGGACAGGAGAGATTCCCCCAGCTGTACAGGAACATCCTTCTTGAGAATTGTGTGTGATGTTTGGAACTGCCAAACTTCCCTGTTTTTGTTGTTTGGTGGCCGCACCCTTTGTCCATGGTGCTTAGCAGCAAAGGTCCTAAGACAACAAGGGCTTGTGAGCTTTCTGTTCAGTAGATACCGGGAAGAAGGAAGTGGCGAAGCCTAGCTGTCATTTCAAAGCCAGCCCAGGTGGGCATCCCAGGCGGGAAATGCGTGATGTCAGAGGAACAGGACGGATGTGGCAGTTCTGGGCATGTGGACAGAAGACAATGGGGCTGAGGGCCACTTGCCAACACCCTGTTGGTCCTCGGGCTTCACCGTCAGGTGCCCCATTTTGTCCCAAGGCCATTTTGTGGCTCGCAAGACACCATTTAGAGACGTCTTTCTTGGATGAAGAGGAGGGTTTAGGGGGAAAACCCCCTCCAGCAGCAGTCCCTCCCAGAGGACCCTCATCTTCCCTCACCTACTGGCTAGAAGCATCTGCTTAAACAGCACGGCATGGAAGACACAACCACAAAGTTCCATTTTATTCACCCCAAAACTACCATGAAGATCAACAGAGAGCAAGAGAAGCCCAGTAAAGCTCGGAGACTTGGCACCCAGGCCCCATTTGCAAAGCACCTTCCCCAGGCAATTTCAAGCCAGCGGCACCCCACAGTACACTCCAGGAGGTAGGGCCAAGCCCCTAAATCCCAGCACCGGAGGCCTGGTCTTCATGGGGAAGAGCTCCCTACAGGGGTCATATGTGACTTTTTTTTTTTTTTTTTGACAGAGTGAGACTCTGTCACCAGGCTAGAGTGCAGGGGTACTATCTTGGCTCACTGCAACCTCCACCTCTCAGGTTCAAGCGATTCCCCTGCCTCAGCCTCCCGAGTAGCTGGAACTACAGGTGTGCACCACCATGCCCAGCTAATTTTTATATTTTTTCTAGAGACAGGGTTTCCCCATGTTAGCTAGGATGGTCTTGATTTCTTGGCCTCATGATCCGCCTGCCTCAGCCTCCCAAAGTGCTGGGATTACAGACATGAGCCACCACACCCAGCCATATGTGGCATTTTTTAAAGCTGCAGAATCCTTTCCTAAATTAGAATTCATGGGGAAGCCCCAAAACATAAAACAGGCCAGTGGAAGGGTCCTGACTGTGATGAGGGTTTCCCCTTCCAGGCCCCTCCCCTTAGGGCCATCTGCTGACAGAGCTGAGGACTCCCCATGGGTGGCCAAGTCCTCCCTTCATTAGACAGGGCACTGAGAGAGCCAGCAGGGACCCTGGGGCTGCCAGGCATATACCCCTGCCTGAAGCTGAGCTGGGGTCCCAAGCAGATTCCCCAGAATATCCCGCTGTTCTCCTTCAAAAGATTCTTTCTCCTCACAGACCAGTGCCCTGGGAAGCCAGAGGCAGATGGAGAGCAGGGAGTCAGCCCAGGGCCCACCCCCACCTCCCACCTCTGAGGGGTCTCTGATTTCTGAGCCAGGAGCCCTGTGACCTGTCAGACAGACGAGGGGGAGAGAAGAACAGGAGCCTTGCAGGAAGGGTCGGGGCTGTAGCGCCTTCGGGCAGCTGCTGTTTGGCTTCCAGCCTCTGCATCCCGTAATCTGTGTGACCAGCGCTCCGCTTCAGGTGTCAGTATGACCCCAAACTCTAATCTTGCCCACACAATTGTCAGTCATTGTTGCCCTTGTAACAGTCTTTTGACATTGAATGTCTGATATTTATAATGTTGCTCATTTTTGTTGCTCAGAGAGCTAGTCTTCCCAAACAGTTATAAGGGCACTCCTTCCTACCCTCCTTCACTCACTCCGGGTCACCCCCCACCGCCCCACACCTCCCTGCTGTGCTTTGAGGACCAGAGTCCCATTGTCTCCTGCTGCACCTCCATAATCCCAGTGCCCCAGGCAGAAAAAGAGCAGACGCTGGGTAGGCATTGGCTTTGGAGGTGGGTGTTGTGAGCAGCTCACCCCTGCTGTCCAGGGGTCCCTGGAAAGAAGCCTGAGGTTCAGCGGGGCTGGTGATGAGCCTGTTCTCCTTCACCATTCAGCCTCCAGCTTGGGACAATGCGGTCCAGAGAGAGGAAATGACACACAGAGCTGAGACCACATCTAGAACAGCACTCACAGCAAACGCCGCCTCCCATCTGAAGGACAGATGAGCTCCATGTTCATCAGGATGCCATCCAACTGCAGAATCTTCCAGCAACAAACACAGCCCTCTAGGGACTCCTGGCACACAGAAATCCCATTGCATGCTTCTCTTGCTCAGAGTAAGGCTGAAAGCACTCCCATGGTTTATAAGGCCCCGCATGAGATACCCCTGCCTCTCTCTCCCGGTCTCCCACTCTAACCATCATCCAGCCCCAGGGCCTTTGCACTTGCTGCTCCCTCTGTCTGAAGACTTTTTCCCCAAATGGCCGAAGACTCACTCCTTCCCTCATCCAGAGATTTTCTAATATGCATCTCCTCCATGCAGCCCTACTGGCTGGCCCTCCCCAGCACTCCCTAACACTCCCCTCCTCTCCCCACAGCACCCCTCACCATCCAGCCTCCTTCTATTTTACTTCTTTATTCTTTTGCCTATCTGATCCCACTAAAATGCAAGCTGTACAAGGTGAGATTTTTGTCTGTTTTATCCATTGTTGCATATTCAGAACCTAGAACAATGCTTCACACAAATAGAGATGCTCAAGAAATATCTGCAGCTGGGCTGGGCGCAGTGGCTCATGCCTGTAATCCCAGCACTTTGGGAGGCCAAGGTGGGCAGATCACTTGAGGTCAGGTGTTTGAGACCCACCTGGCCAGTATGGCAAATCCTGTCTCTACTAAAAATACTAAAAATTAGCTGGGCATGGTGGCACATGCCTGTAGCCCCAGCTACTCAGGAGGCTGAGGCAGAAGACTCTCTTGAACCCGAGAGACAAGGGTTGCAGTGAGCTGAGATCACGCCACTACACTCCAGCCTGGGCAACAGAGTGAGACTCCATCTCAAAAAGAAAAATATAGATATATCTGCAGACTGAATTGAAAAGGTGAGCATGGGCAGATCTGGAAGAGGAGGACCAGGCCCCTTTGTACAGATGGTTCAAGTGAGTTCTGCATTTGCTGAAGGATAATGCCGTTCATTCATCTGTTCATTCAGCAAACACACGCTGATGCCTCTAATGTACCAGACACTGTTCTAGGGAATGGGTGCTGCAGCCTGATGCCAGATGGACATGCTCCCTGCCCTCACAGGGAGGTAACACAGACAACAGACAAGAAATCAATCAGTAGGAAGAA